AAAAAATACAAATTATTTTAAAAATATTTTTATTTTTATTAAAATTTGATGTACCAATCTTATTGCACCGGACCATACTAACTTATAGATTATTAAAAAAATAACTCAAAATTAATACAGTCGACTTTCGATATAACGACGTGCAGATTCTATTGAATTTACAATAGGATCTGCACGTCGTTATATTCGATCACAATCTACGTACGTGTATTAAAATAAAAAATGTACAAAATTTGATCTTTTATAATACATGTACAATGTTGATCGATATCAATTCGATATCGATACCAATAACGATAACGATAACGATAACGATAACGAGAGGTTTTGGTGATGTTATTATATCCAAATACTATTGAAATTTTTTTGTACCAAGCAAATTATGTTACTATAACCAGCATGTTATTACGTATAAAGAATGTTACTGTAACCAGCTCTGACTGTACACGATTTAAGAAATTTCATTTAGAGCAGCAAGCCGCGCGTTGATAAGTCTTTTTTATTCATTCTCCCGGATGTCCATTGACGAAACAACACCACCAAAGATTGATATTACCGTGCATTAAATCTACTTTTGGCGATAATGACAGCATAATAAACATTATCTTCCTTCTCGTTTATCAGCTTCTGCACATTCGAAAAAAAGCTATTACTCTCCACCACCGCAAAGACGTTAGCATTCATTACTAACAGCACCAGCGAAAATCAGTAAATTCAACAACACACAAAAATAAAACACGTTCTGTAAAAATCGTCTTTCAATTCTGATATGGTGCAGGAACTCTTAAATCGACAATATGTTTCATCTTAAATCCAAAATTTGACCGGTGATATTATCAAGAAAGTCCCTATCTATAATATTACCGGCCGGTTAAATTTTGTATTTATTTCTTAGTTAAGAAGTTGATAGAATTTTTAACATGAAACATATTGTCGATTTAAGAGTTCCTGCACCATATTTGTTTTAAAACCGAATTAATTATCTAGTGCTATTATTGACGAATCAAACTTTTGTTTTGTTTCTTTTTTTCATATTGTACATAAAATAAATTTTTTTTCAAGGTAAATTAACGTTTCTAAGCATTGCAAAATAATGTTCAAATGAATTACGTAGTAAGTCTGCTGACGTTTGCGCAACATTTAATGTCAAAAAAGTAACGTTAACCGTTAACGTTATCGTTATCGTTATAATAACTTTAATTGGTCACCTCATAAAAATAACCAGTTATAAGCTTTTTATTATTTAGATCGGCAGATATTACTGTATTTGAGAACTAGGCGTCACTGTTTGCTTCGTATCAATATAACACTTCCTCTTTATGCTGCTCAGAAATATAAACCATATCAAATTTAATGGCACAAGAGTTGCGAAGTGATGTTATCCATCGTGTTCTGGATGAATCGAAATTCGCCCCAGAATGCCAAGATATTATGGAAAAACTATGCGGGTTTGATAAATATATTGATTCTAACTCCGAATTGACAGATGCAGAAAAGAAACGGGCAAAATTTCTCATTCTTATGAACAAAGATAAAGAAAATTTAATACGAGTCAAAGGTTCTACATATCCTTGTAAAGTATGCAACAAATCCGGTTATACAATGCTAAACTGCGAGCATTGTATGCGATCATGTCTTAAAAGAAAATTTTCCAATTGGACTTCAGGCAATAAAATCATCGACGAAACGATTCAAGAGGCACAAATAACCTTACCAACTCCGCGTGGGTTTGTTGAATGGATACCGTATTCAGACTTTGAACAAGTGACATATAAGACACGCGGCGGTTTTGGGGAGATTTATACGGCAATTTGGACGAAAGGATATGCAGAAGCATTTGACCCAGAGAAGCAGGAATATATTCGAAGCGGCCCTTTTAAGGTCATTCTGAAAGTATTAAAGAAATCCAATAAACCAAATGAGGACTTTTTGAAAGAGGTTAGCGGCTTTAAAGTGTTTTAATTTGTCTGCCAAATTTAAAATTGCTTATAAATCAACTTTTTAAATTCTAGTTGCAAACGCATCTGTTATTAGCTTCAAACGCCAATATGATTGTACCCTGTTTGGGAGTGTCAAGACATTCCGAATCGGGAGATTATATTCTTGTTTTAAAAGAAATGAAATCCGATTTGCGTAGTTATATTCAAAAGAATTATAAGACGCTAACATGGCCGGATCTATATCATGTATTTCGTTATATTTTCGGCACTCTAAGAAGATTTCACCAAAAAGATCTTGTTCATCGGGACTTGCATAGTGGCAACGTATTAAAGCGTTTTGGAGGCTGGTATATTGCCGATTTTGGCCTTTGCGGTCCAGTGGATAAAACGGAAAAGTCTGTCTATGGTATTGTGCCGTATATAGCGCCAGAAATATATAGTACTTTTACATATACCCCTAAAACAGATATTTATAGCGTTGGAATGTTAATGTACGAATGTTGCACTGGAAGGCCGCCTTTCCATGGTCATCGTTACGATTTTCCGCTTGCTTTATCCATCATTAGAGGGTCTCGGCCACCCATTCCTGCGGGTCTTCCTGAATTGTATGTAAAAATGATGAAACTATGTTGGGATACAGATCCATCTGTACGTCCTACCGCGGTCGAAGCCTGGGAATTTTTTGGACAGCAAATTCAAAGACCTGAATCCACGGAATTGGTATTCAAAGATCCGATAGATATATCAAGCCTACTCACTGGCTCTCTTAGTAGTCGTGTTTATCATTTTAATCACCTACCAAATCCACGTAATGCAAGCGAAGGTAAGAAGAGTTTTTACTTGATTAATTCGATTTTCTAATTTCATTCAATTCAAAAGGTATTGATCAACTATCAACCTTGTTTTATTAAACCTACGATAAAGCAACAAATAAGATTGGATTTGCTGAAGGTATTTTTCATTTACAACCTTAATCTCGGATGATTTGTTTCACAGTTTTTGGCTTTTATAAATAATTACTTTTCTTGAATTAGAAACAGCGATTACTTGCCTTGAATTAGAAACGACCATTTCAGATTACGATTATACAGTGGCGCTCAAAAGTAATGCATCACTTGAAAGATAAATTTTGCGACGCAATAACTTCTCGTACACAACGTTAA